CTAGGTGCGTTTCTTTAAGTCTTCCTACCAATATGACCGAGTTGCGAAAACAAGGTCAAACAACTTCCAGCCCACTTAGTTGAGCATATAATTTCGACATATTAACATGACTTGTGCATTCGTTGGGGAAATTTTTAAAGGTTACCTCCACCCAGGGTTCCCCCCTATCACTGAACCGTGGCTTAATTTTATTTTCATTCGAGGTCACCCGATGCCTAGTTCAGAGAGCACACTTGACGATCATGCACCCGAGTTGAGCTATGGATTCTATTCACCAGATCTCTGCTCATTTTCAGGCTGTAGTTACGACGACTGGCTGGGTTTTGATGAATCTCTTGCGATAGCCTTGTTGTGAAAACTGTCGTTAAGTATGCAGAAATTGGTTAATTAATCTCACCAGAAGCAGACTGCGAATTTCTATTCTTCAACATCCATTTATTGTGAAGACTTTCATGATGAAGATACCTGTAGATCAATCCCAACTGAAGACGCCGGTTGGTTTTGATGAGATCGATTTACGAATCTCTTCACCACGTACCTCCGTACGAAATTACAGTTTTCACTACAATCTTATCGCAAAAGATTGTTGAAAAACCTCACATACCGGGAGATCCACAAGCCATACTCCTCAGCATGCCATTTCGTATGAAATGCAAGTCTCTACAACAACATTTTCGGTATGTTTATGATCCCCGGAACCGGCAGGGTTGAGTGGCAACTTAATGCTTACTGAGGACCGCTTGATCACTGCACACACACACACACTCACACGCACACATACGGACACGGACAAAGAATAGAGCAGCAGCCTGATTGCTACTTGCCACGACGACCGCTCCGACTACTGCAGCGCGGCGGGGTTGCAAGTAAGTGAAACCTTCAAGACTTTGCTTCGGGGTCCGTTTGTCCTTGGTACATCCACAAAACGATGCTCCCTACTACAACCTCGGTCTGCACATTTGTTCGGGGTTTGTCTGGTTTCAACCGACTGTCGGCTCAACCAGTGGTAGGAGACGTTTGAGGTGAGCTTCCCTCACCTCAAAAACGCCAGCCTTGAAGTCGTTTTTTTGGGAGGAGACAGAAAATCGCTCTCTCTCTCTCTCTCTAGACATATCAACGCCGCGAAGACGTGTGCTCAAACCGAGGTCGTGAGGAGCTCTTGCCTACCAGGCCAGATCGAGTAGATGTGATAGCAGGTTCTTGCTGGCTTGAGTACACATTGGCCCACCGACTTGGGCCGAAGACGACTTGGGAGGGTGGATTTTGGTGAGTATTTGTGTGTGTATATGTGTTTGTGTGTGTGTGTAAGAGAGAGAGAGATTGCATTTAGAAGTGAATATATATGTGTGATTTTGTTGTCTGCCACAAATGCTTCTGCATGTGTGTGAGTGTGTGTGTTTGTGTGTGTGTGTGTAGAGGGAATGGTCGGTTGTGCGTAATTGCATGTGCTGGCGTGCTTGCATGAGTGCGTCCGGAGGGTTGGGTCATTTGGATCCGACAGACTTGACCGGACCTGAGGAGAAGGGTCCACCTGTCCTCGTCGAAGGCCCGTTGTAGGCTCGACCCGCACT